TTGTGACCAATGCTTCCTCCAAGCTGAGTTGGTGTGAGCTAGGTAAAGGTAAAGGTTCCCTTGCTCGAAAGCCAGTCGAATCCGACTCTAGGGTTGCGGTGCTCATCTCCGTTTCCAAGCCGAAGAGCCAGCGCTGTCCGAAGACGTCTCCGTGGTCATGTGGCCGGCATGACTAAACACCAAGGCGCACGGAACGCTGTTCCCTTCCCACCGAAGTGGTCCCTATTTATCTACTTGCAATTTCTTGCTTGCGAACTGCTAGGTTGGCAGGAGCTGGAACTAGAGACGGGAGCTCACTCCGTCATGCGGCACACTCGGGTCTCGAACTGCTGAACTACCGACCTTCCACAGCCTGCAGTTCAGAGCCACCGCAGCTTGCTTTCGAACTGCTAGGTTGGCAGGAGCTGGAACTAGAGACGGGAGCTCACTCCGTCATGCGGCACACTCGGGTCTCGAACTGCTGAACTACCGACCTTCCACAGCCTGCAGTTCAGAGCCACCGCAGCTCCTGTCTAGCTCACAGTTTTTTTTAGCCTCCAGCTCACACATTTTTGTCTTAGCGCAGGAAGGAGGGCTCCAGAGCAATGTTCCTCTAAGCTGTGGAGTCTTGTGAGCCAAAATTCTACTTTGTGGGCTACTGGCATTAAAGCTGTGAGCGAGTGATTTGTCTGCTGCATCAATGAGTTTGCGCTGGAGCCCTCCCTTCCTGAGTGGAGACAAAAATGTGTGAGCCAGAGGCTAAAAAAACTGTGAGCTAGCTCACACTAACTCAGCTTAGAGGGAACACTGCTCCAGAGCAAACTGATTTATGCAGGAGCCAAATAGCTCACTCAGAACTTTAATGCCAGTCGCTCACAAATTAGAATTTTTGCTCACCAGACTCCACAGCTTAGAGGGAGCACTGGTTGTGACCAATGCTCCCTCTAAGCTGTGGAGTCGTGTGAGCAAGGATTCTGCTTTGTGAGCTAGGGGCATTACAGTTGTGAGCGAGCCATTTGGTTAATGCAGAAATCTGTTTGCCCTGGAGCCATCCCTCCCTGAGGTGAGACAAAAATGGGTGAGCTGGAGGCTAACAAACGGTAAGCTAGCTCACACCAACTCAGCTTAGAGGGAACACTGGTTGGGACCAGACAGCAATGCGAAGTCACTCCTGTGGCAAGATTCTGAACAAGGATCATGAGGACATCGAAAGAGCCCTGCTGGATCAAACCAGTAGTCTCACACAGTGGCCAGCCAGTCTCTCTGAAGACTCAACACCATAAATGCCGAAGCATTCCCCTGATAAGAAGAGAAGAGGAGCCCTGCTGGATCAGAGCAGTGGTCCATGTAGCCCAGCATCCTGCCTCACACAGTGGCCAACCAGTTCCTCTGGAGGGCCAACAACAGGGCAGAGAGGCCGAGGCCTTCATGAGAACATGAGAAGAGCCCTGCTGGATCAAACCAACAGTCCATCTAGTCCAGCATCCTGTCTCACACAGTGGCCAACCGGTTCCTCTGGAGGGCCAAGAGCGGGGCCTTCCCCTGATGTGGCCTCCTGGCTCTGGGATTCAGAGGTGGTCTGCCTCTGAACATGGAGGTTCCCTTTTGTCACCAATGGCTAGTAGCCGCTGATGGACCTCCACAAATTTGTCTAATTCCCTTTTATAAGAACTAAAGAAGAGCTCTGCTGGATCAGACCAGTGAAGATCCATCTAGTCCAGCATCCTGTCTGACACAGTGGCCAGCCAGTTCCTCTGAAGACTCAATAGCACCATAAATGCTGAAGCCTTCCCCTGATAAGAACATAATATCATACCGATAGTCCATCCAGTCCAGCATCCTCTCTGACCAACAGTTCCTCCGGAGGGCCCACAGAGGCCAAGGCCTTCATTAGAACACCAGAAGAGCCCTTGCTGGATCAGACCAGTGAAGGTCCATCTAGTCCAGCCTCCTGTCTCACACAGTGGCCAACAGTTCCTCCGGAGGGCCAACAACAGGGCAGAGAGGCCAAGGACTTCATGAGAACACCAGAAAAGCCCTGCTGGGTCAGACCAGTAGTCCATCTCGTCCAGCATCCCGTCTCACACAGTGGCCAACCAGTTCCTCTGAACAGCCAACAACAGGACGTAGAGGCCGAGCCCTGCGTTAGAACTTTAGAAGTGTCCTGCTGGATCAGACCAGTAGTCTCTCTAGTCCAGCATCCTGTCCCACACAGTGGCCAACCAGATCCTCTGGACAGCTAACAACAGGGCACTATACCCCATTGAAGTCTCTCCCCTCCCCTCCCCTCCCCAAACCTCACCCTCCTCAGGCTTGGTCCCCAAAATTTCCAGGTATTTCCAATCCGGAGCTGGGCACCCTGATTTCAGAGGCACCCTTCCTGGAGATTGAACCCGGGACCTTCTGCATGCCAAGCAGACACTACGCTGACTGAGCCGCAGCCACGCCCCATCACACCCCAGTCTCGTTCTCCTCATCATCTCTCTTGGCCAGGGAAGGTTGCGATTTCAAGGGCCGCTCGGTTGGCCAGACGAGTCCACTGCTGCTCCTGCATTTTCCTCTATCCTGTACTGAAGCCTGGATGATAGCTGCTCGTACTTAGAGCGTCCTTTGTCTCTCAACGGTTTCAATCAATGCCGACAGGAATTTTGGAGGGCCAATTCATTCAAACTCCATTGGCGCATCGTCTATGTATTTGTGGTGCCCACGAACTGGAGGATTTACCTCACTACATTCTCTTTTGCCCCTTGTATTCTAGTCCAAGGGCTAAATTTTTAGCAGGTATTCCATCTATCTATCAAGTGGTTAAGATGCTGAACTGCAGGCTGTGGAAGGTCGGTAGTTCAGCAGTTCGAGACCCGAGTGTGCCGCATGATGGAGTGAGCTCCCGTCTCCAGTTCCAGCTCCTGCCAACCTAGCAGTTCGAAAGCAAGACATTGCAAGTAGATAAATAGGAACCACTTCGGTGGGAAGGTAACAGCGTTCCGTGCGCCTCTGCGTCTCGTCATGCCGGCCACATGACCACGGAAACGTCTTTGGACAGTGCTGGCTCTTCGGCTTGGAAACGGAGATGAGCCCCCGCAACCCTAGAGTCGGATTCAACTGGCTTTCGAGCAAGGAAGACCTTTACCTTTACTATCTGGTCTTAGTGCTTACCCAGTTGAGGGGGGAAATTCATTTTTGTTATCCGACATTGACGCATATGTCTCTTATAAAGTTTCATGATTTGCCCTTGCTGCAAAGAATATACGTTCCAAGGTGGCATCGGGAAGGGGCGTTATTTAAGCTACTCTATTAAATTAGTCATGTTTTGTTACTGATCTCTGGTATTTTTTTACACTCTAACTCTAACCTGTACCTTGTTCACAATTTGTGTTTTGTAGTTTTGTAACGGCCCATGGCTAATTACAATAACCTAACCGGAAACGGGAGACAGCTGGCGGCGCAAACTCCCCCAGCGGTGCAACGGGTACCGGAACGTCTTTCGACGCAAGGCCTGATCCTGACACGGCAAGAAAAGTCCTTGAGAACAGATCTTTACCTGAGTTTGCAGAAGCCTAATCGAGCCCACGGAACATCTCCTCCAAACGTGGAATCGGGGTCCTTGTCATTGCCGCCCAGCCGGGACCGAACCTGGGACCTTCTGTGTGCAAAGTCCGCTTCTGCTTTGAGCACTGTGGCACACTCTTTTTGTGCCGGTGTCGAGACGCTGCTGGCAAAGGCAGAGGAGCCAGGAACTCCAAATTGCCCTTGGGAGGAGTGGAAGTCGCTGATAAGGGGCCCGCCTCGCCTGGAGAGATGGACGGACACGTGTGCCCCCCCCCTCCAGGCCCCCTTTTCCTCTCTCACGTCGAGGTCCCGGAGGAGCTGCAGGGAGAGAACAAAATGTCCATTTAGTCTGCGCGGAAACGGGGGTTGTCTCGTTAAACACTTACAAGAGCTTTGGAGGCAATTAATTGATTAGAACGAAATGACACTTTGCTACAGTTCCGCTGCTACAAGAGTGATTTTTTAAAAAAATAAATAAATCTACAGATCCTAAAGGAAGGGGGCGGTTTCTCCCCAGCGTAACAAAACTTGGCCGTTTTAATGAGTAAGAGCTGGCATACGTACGTAGAAGGAAGAGATCGTCTTCCCCCTACCTCTCTTTTTCAAGAGGCAAGAATTAGAGGGCCTGGAGAACATTTGGAAGACTTGTGGGTTGCTGGTGGGTCTCCGGGTGGGGGCTGGATACCCCTCAGAATCACAACTGAAGACGTAGAAGAGATTGGATTTATACCCCCGGGCTTTGCTACCCGGAGGAGTCTCAGAGCCGATTACAATCCCTTTCCCTTCCCCTCCCCACAGCAGGCACCCTGTGAGGTAGGTGGGGCTGAGAGAGCTCTTTCGAGGACTGCTCCTGAGAGAACAGCTCTGAGAGGACTTGTGACTGACCCAAGGTCACACCAGCAGCTGCATGTGGAGGAGTGGGGGGATCAAACCCGGTTCTCCCAGATTAGAGTCTGCGCTCCTAAGCACTACATCAAGCTGGTTTTCTGATCTCCAGATTACATAGATAGCTCATTTATTTATTTATTTATTTATTTATTTAAACATTTATTCCATTTCTCCTGGGGAAAACGGCTGCTCTAGAAGGTGGGCCTGTGTGGAATTATACCCAACTGGGGTCCCTCCCCTCTCTGGAGCCCACCCTCCCGGGCTCCACCCCCTCGATCTCCAGGTAATCCTGAACTCAGAGTTGGCAACCCTGCTTGTGGTGCTTTTGGAATGGAGCAGCGGATGAGTACCGGCACGACATCGTGAGTTTGTAAACCAGTACCTGCTCCTTGGGAAGAAAGCGATGGCGAACCTTAACAGCATGATAAAAAGTAGAGACATCACCCTGCCGACAAAAGTTTACATGATCAAAGCAACGGTATTCCCAGTAGTCATGTATGGCTGCGAGAGTTGGACTATAAGGAAGGCCGAGCGCCGAAGAATAGATTCTTTTGAACTATGGTGCTGGAGAAGACTCTTGAGAGTCCCTTGGACGGCAAGGAGATCAAATCAGTCAATCCTAAAAGAAATCAACCCTGATTGTTCCCTGGAAGGCCAGATAATGAAACTGAAGCTCAAATACTTTGGCCACCAAATGAGAAGGGAGCACTCACTGGAGAAGACCCTGATGCTGGGAAAGATTGAAGGTCAAAGAAGACGGGGACGGCAAAGGATGAGATGGTTGGACAGTGTCATAGATGCAACGAACATGAAATTGAGCCAACTTCAGAGGACGGCGTAAGACAGGAGGGCCTGGCGTGATCTGGTCCATGGGGCCGCGAAGAGTCGGACTCGACTGTGCGACTGAACAACAACAACAACAACCTGGACAACAGCTCCCCCCTCAACAAGGAAAAAAAATAGGCAAACATTGTTGACAGGAAGGGGCTGGAGTTCTCCCAGAATTCCTTCTGATCTCCAGACAACAGAGGCCAGCTCCTCTGGAGGAAATGGTGGCATCGGGGGGTGGACTCTGTGACATCACATCCCTTTTAAGCTCGGCTTCCCAGGTGCTTGCTTACGGTGGGCAATCCCTTGGCGATTTTGGTTGCTGTTCTCCAACACTCAGCTGGTCAGTAGGCGTAAGCCAGCCAGTGGGGGGGAGGCAATTGTGGCCCTCGTGTGATGACACCACTTAGGCTCGCCAACTTCCAGGTGGCAGCTGGAGATCCCCCGCGATTACAATTGATCTCCAGACGTGCTAGTTCACCTGGAGAAAATGGTCGCTTCAGAAAGTGGACTCTATAGCATTGTACCCCACTGAAATCCCCTCCCCAAGCCCTGCCCTCCCCGAGCTCCACCCCCAAAATCTCCAGGTGTTTCCCAACCCAGAGATGGCAACCCTACTTCTGGTGCAGACTGCTCAAAAAGGTAAAGGTTCCCTTGCTCGAAAGCCAGTCGAGTCCAACTCTAGGGTTGCGGTGCTCATCTCCGTTTCCAAGCCGAAGAGCCAACGCTGTCCGAAGACGTTTCTGTGGTCATGTGGCCGGCATGACTAAACACCAATGTGCATGGAACGCTCTTACCTTCCCACCGAAGTGGTCCCTATTTATCTACTTGCAATTCATTGCTTTCGAACTGCTCGGTTGGCAGGAGCTGGAACTAGAGATGGGAGCTCACTCCGTTATGCAGCAACTCGGGTCTCGAACTGCTGAACTACTGACCTTCCACAGCCTGCAGTTCAGCGCCTTAACCCCTTGAGCCACCGCAGCTCCTTATAGCTAACTCATTCAGGCGCCTTCAACATTACATCAGTGGCTTTCCCATCTGCATCAGTGGAACAGTCTTTGACATCAGTAGCGGGTTTGGTTTCTGTGGACCTGCTGTTCCAACTCCCCCTGCTCCATGCAGGATCAGCCTAGAAAGAGCATGCGTCTCTTTCACATAGTCTAATTTAATGTTAATAAAAAGCAAATTTGCATATTTTTCGATAAAAACGTGTGTGTAATATTTGTCCGTGTCTTGCGGCTCTCAGAAATCTCACGTTTATTCTGTGTGGCTGTTATGTTAAGCAAGTTTGGCCATCCCTGGCCTAGAGCATCCCTGACAAGTGTTCGTCTAGCTGCTGCTTGAAGACTCCCAGTTGAGGGGGAGCTCACCACCTCCCTAGGCGGCCCATTCCGCTGCTCAACTACTCTTACTGTAAAAAAAAATAAATCCTGATATCCAGACTGTGTGTTTCTACCTGTGATTGAAACCCATTCTTGCATGTCCTATCATCTGCTGTCAACAGGAACATCTCCCCGCCCTCCTCTGAAGTGACAGCTCTTCAAATACTTCAGAAGAGCTATCGTGTCCCCCCTCAACCTCCTCTTCTCCGGACTGAAAGAGGTTAGGGCTCTTTAGCTTGGAGAAATGACGGCTGAGGGGTGACATGACAGAGGTTTACAGAACTGTGCATGGGGCAGAGAAGGTGGAGAAAGAAGTACCTTTCTCTCTTTCTCACAAGACAAGAACTCGTGGGCACTCAATGGAATTAATGAGTATGGAGCTATCGTGTCCCACCTCATCCTCCTCTTCTCCGGACTGAAAGAGGTTAGGGCTCTTTAGCTTGGAGAAATGACGGCTGAGGGGTGACATGACAGAGGTTTACAGAACTGTGCATGGGGCAGAGAAGGTGGAGAAAGAAGTACCTTTCTCTCTTTCTCACAAGACAAGAACTCGTGGGCACTCAATGGAATTAATGAGTATTAGCCTTTGGGCGGGTAAAAGGAAGTCCTTCTTCACCCAAAGAGTCATTCACATGTGGAATTCACTGCTGCAGGAAGTGGCGGCGGCTACAAGCATTGACAGCTTCCAGAGGGGATTGGAGAAACATATGGAGCAGAGGTCCGTGAGTGACTATTAGCTGCAAGGTATAGATGGGCTATATAGGGGCCGCAGTGGCTCAGAGGTTAAGACGCTGAGCTGCAGACTGGAAGGTCTGTAGTTTGGCAGTTCGAGACCCGAGTGTGCCGCGTGACGGAGTGAGCTCCCGTCTCTAGTTCCAGCTCCTGCCAACCTAGCAGTTCGAAAGCAAGAAATTGCAAGTTGATAAATAGCTTCGGTGGGAAAGTAACAGCGTTCCGTGCGCCTCGGTGTTTAGTCATGCTGGCCACATGACAATGGAGAAGTCTTCAGACAACGCTGGTTTTTTGGCTTGGAAACGGAGATGAGCACCGCCCCCTAGAGTCGGATTTGACTGGCTTTCGAGCAAGGAAAACCTTTACCTTTACTATAGATGGAACATTCTGTCTAGGGCAGTGATGCCCTGTATTCTTGGTGCTTGGGTGGGGGTCAACAGTGGGAGGGCTTCTGGAGTTCTGGCCCCGCTGGTGGACCTCCTGATGGCACCTGGGTTTTGGCCTCTGTGTGACATGGATGGGCCATTGGCCTGATCCAACATGGCTTCTCTTATGTTCTTATGTAACATTCCCAAGTCCCTCAGCCTTTCCTTGTACGGCTTGAAATATTTCACTCTTTTCCCTGGTGCCATTTTTCTGCTGAAAAACCACAACCTCTGCATGGTTAAGGGTCACATTTGGAAGGATTCGTAAGCTTTGCACAGGGGAGGCAAAGGCGGGCGGGATGGCAGGAAACGTTCACCAAGGGCTAGAACTGAACGTCCCTTCTCCTTTCCCCCCTCCCAAACTCCTCCCCCTTTAAATTGCAGCTCCCGCAGATGCCTTTGGTTAAAATCATCATCTCATCATGGGACTGGCTGTAACCTGTAATTCTGACCTCTGCTGCTGGCTCGTCTCCCCAGCCTAGGCACAAACCACAAAAGCCGATTTAATGGGCGGAAGATGTGGCAACGTTGCGAATGTTTGCCGTCTGGAAAAGCTGAAATTTATGCTGACTGAACATGGCAGGCCTCGAGGAGCGCTTCTTAACCACGGTTTGTTTTTCTAACCCACTGTGGCCTTTACTTCAGGCCAGAGAATTTCTCCAAAACAGGCAGTAATGTTGGGAACTCCAGAGTTGGACAGGAGATACTGAGAACCACCGATGTACATAATGCTACAATACATATATCTGGTATAAATGTAAAGGGCAAGGTTCCCTTGCTTGAAAGCCAGTCGAATCCGACTCTAGGGTTGCGGTGCTCAGTTTCAAAGCCGAAGAGGCAGCGCTGTCCGAAGATGTTTCCATGGTCATGTGGCCGGCATGACTTAACACCAAGGCGCGTGGAACGCTGTGACCTTCCCACCGAAGTGGTACCTATTTATCTACTTGCAATGTCTTGCTTTCAAACTGCTAGGTTGGCAGGAGCTGGAACTAGAGACGGGAGCTCACTCCGTCATGCGGCACCCGGGTCTCGAACTGCTGA